TCCCAGTTTCATTCTTTCTCTATCAATTTCGCGAACATACTGGTGAATAAACATACCAGTTGGTATGTTGCGATCCAGCTTCTCCAAGGTCTTCTTCGCTTAAAGAGGGAGCCCTTCCATTCTTTTTCAGCTTTCTCACACTCTGATAGATCTGATAGAAAAGTAGAGCTATGTAAGATTGCTTCTTTACGGTCTTCGCAGACCTCTAGGTAGTTCTAAACTCATTTTGGTCAGATGGGCAACATTATCATGCTGCCCCGTGTCTCCGGCCGCGAATATAGCGGCATCAGAGTTGGGTGGAATTGAGTTTCCCCCTGACCCCGACGGGTAGAATTCGTCATAAGTTACTAAACGAACGTAATACTTGGAGTGAATGAGTTGAACGTAGTTAGACGAATCCTCGCAAGGATCCTTGCAAGGATTCGTCTAGGCCAACGAAGCAGATCTGATGGTTCTAGGAAAATCATTTAATCCAGGCTAAGAATTCCTGACTCTCCCTTTGGTCGTACCTCTTTCAAATGAGTTGACAGAGAACAGAGAACAGAGATTCGTTGAACTAAATGAGTTGAACATAGTTCAACGAAATGAGTTTCACTATGTGAAACGAATCTCTGTTCTCTAGTGACTTCGTACCTTCGGAAGGACCTTAGGTGTCAAATGTGATCCGAAGCTATTGCATCGTTTGCCCTTTTTATTGATTTTGACGATTGGATCTCTCTATGAATGGAAAAGGGGTGCTTGTGTTGTGGTTTTCGTAGTTGCAAGAATTTTTTTTTTCGAGAAAAGGTCCCCTCCTTCAATATCATGATTGGGTCGACCAGACCAGATCATGAGCGAATAGAAAATAAAAAATGTACATAGCTGTTCCAGCTGAAATACTTGGAATAATTCTACCACTTCTACTAGGAGTAGCCTTTTTAGTGCTAGCTGAACGTAAAGTAATGGCTTTTGTGCAACGTCGAAAGGGTCCTGATGTAGTGGGATCATTTGGATTGTTACAACCTATAGCAGATGGTTTGAAATTGATTCTAAAAGAACCTATTTCACCAAGTAGTGCTAATTTCTCCCTTTTTAGAATGGCTCCAGTGGCTACATTTATGTTAAGTCTGGTCGCTCGGGCCGTTGTACCTTTTGATTATGGTATGGTATTGTCAGATCCGAACATAGGGCTACTTTATTTGTTTGCCATATCTTCGCTAGGTGTTTATGGAATTATTATAGCAGGTTGGTCTAGTAATTAGGGGGCGGCCGTTCGGTCGCCTATGATACTAGGACCAATAGGTCAAAAATGGGTTTGTGCCGCAGGTGTTGAACGATCTACTCTACACAGGTGTGGGCTTACAGGGATCAACCCTTTCTTTCATTTATCAATAGGGCCCTGGCCGGTCACTTTTCTCGATATCATAAAAAAAAGATATCACCTTTGAACTGAGAGTTGAACAACGTACGAAGTCTCTCGACCGTAACCGCTCGTTGAACATAGTTCAACTCATTTAGTAGCTAGAGATTCGTTTCAAACGTTGAACTATGTTCAACTCATTCGAAGAGGTACGACCAACGTACGTAGTCGCTCGAAGAGGGGAGTCCCTCTCCCGTAGGTCGAATGAGTTTCACATAGTGAAACGAATTCTCTAG